CCTTGTTTATATTGTGCTGCTCCATAGCATACATTGTCGCCTATGTACAGGGGAATACCCCACTCTTAAATCCAATTCGCACCTCTCGCAGACCACTTTTGATAGTTTGGTCCGAGACACACGTTGTGCAAAGACTTGATCTGGTGCAGTCATGACTCCTGGTCCAACAGTTTTTCGGACATGTGTCCCGGAGTACAACTGAATAAAATAACAAAACATTCGCTAAATGTAAACTATACATTGCATGGAGATTTACGTATGCATTATATATATTAAAATGTGGCAAACAAAGGCATCGCAGATGAACTGGTAATGAAACTCGTCTTCAATAGACCCCGTTTTTCAATGTGCACAAAGTTTAAGCCCTATGAGAAGATCCAATATTTACCAAAAGTAGGAAATCCATTTTATCAAAACGCATGTTGGTATATATTATTTGGATTGGGATTTTCCAATCAATGGTAAAAGCGTGATTAATGCCATATTCTTACCATCAAGTGCCATGCAAACATATCCAGTCATGAACAGGTTCCACCTATACAGTTTATTGATATTTTTTTGCTTTCCGTGCTGATCATCCAATCGAATACACGATGTCACCTGACATTTACACCTGAGTGGACACACGGGGAATCGTTAAAGCTTATAAATGGAACAGAGACTGATAATTGCTAGCTTCTAACCTATTTACAACTGTTTGTACACGGTTCGTGTAAATGTCTCCGTACAATACAGCTTAGTTAGTCAGTGTGGTTTACTGGACCTACACAGCTATGCTGCTTCTGTTACTGGTTTCAGGGTTTGGTCACGCATTGTCTCTTGGTGAGTTTAACCTTAACGTTGTTAAATTAGAGCTGGTATTTTTTGTACCTTATGCTTTTTTAGTAATTCATCATTGACTCTATTTTAGACATCTAATCCAAAATCAAGAAGCAAGTTCACTGCAATAAATTAGCTTATTTTTTCGTATTGCCTATGTTTGTGAATGTGGATGAAATGCCATGATAATATATTTATTGATTATATTTTGTGTAAGTTAAAAAAAACATACTTTTCACGTAAAACTAACTTTAAATGTAGTCTGCTAAAAGATAACACACTGATATTCTTTAGAGTTTCAGTGACAACAATGACGTTACGCAGAACACACAATGTCATTTTCAGAGGGCCAATGTGTCAAGGGCTCTTTGTTGCGCTGTCAGGTGGTGGGGTAGTCTAGTGGTTAAAGCTTTCGCTCGTCACGTCCGGGTTCGATTCCTCACATGTGTTCAATGTGTGAAGCCCATTTCTGGTGTCCCCCGTCGTTATATTTCTGGAATATTGCTAAAGGCGAAGTAAAACTAACCTCACGCACTCATTCACTCTCTTTCTTACTTGTATATGTCGTCACTGGTAGTCAAACATAACACTGACTTACATTTGAAGGTCACATGCAACGTAAAACACAACTTTGCAGATTCTGATACCTGTCCGTATGGACTTACCGAAACAAATCATCAAAATTGCAAATTCAACTTATAAAGTTTGAAAAAAAACGCGCGAAAACGATTCACTAATTTTCTCCCAGCGCTTAGGGGAATTTAAGTGGTTTCAACAGCTGGGCTGCGCTGCGCCCATAGCACATGCGCAGTGAAATAGGTTCACACAGCTTGGAAGCGGGTCGCCCGGTGAATACTCGGTGAAGGCTCGGTGAGCTATTTTTCTAATGTTTCGTTGATATTTCACAGGCGCGAGCTTTTTATATGTTATGACAGTAGATTACCGATTTAAACTGTTTATATAATTTCATTTGTCTATTTCACCACACGTTCTTCTTACCGAGTCACTTTCAACGTTCGATACTTCAAAGCAATGTCATTATTTAGCGTTGACAGAATTTCTAACTGTGATATAGATATGTCGTTGTCACAGACAAAACTCAATGTCTGTGTTATTGACACCTATGTGTCTGCCTGCCTGTCTGCTAATGACAATATTCAATACACAACTTCAATCACTGACCACATGCAATTTGAACTTAACACCTATCAGGCTATACACCATAAACAAAACGCATTGATTTATGGCCCAAGTTCGGTTTCTGTCACATTATGTAATTACACAGACAGGCAGGCGTGATACTTGTAAATACGACATGTTTTGATGTCTGTTGATTGCAAAATGTGATACACAAAAAATGAGCATGTATTTACAAAACCCAACATCTCTATATTTACACACACATTGAGCCGTGAGGGCATCTGCAAATGAACCAGCCGTTACACTTGAGTGCACACCCACCCAGTCTGACTGGGTTCGGTGTCCCGGCTGCTTCGTTTCTTGGGAAGTAAACCCAAGTACAAAATATTGCACTTTTGATTTGCAATTGTACGCTTATAATTTTGTTTTAATGTTTTTTCATAACCAGCAATGTATATTATATGTCATGAATAAGTAATAACTATGTTTTAATTATGTTTGATTTTTTGGTTGCATTTGACCTTGTCACAAATATGCTAAAGGTACCATATACATCGAAATATGCATTGTTACAATACACTGTGCTCTAAAAGAAAGCATAAATAACACAGACATAACGGTTCTTTCCGTCCAAACATTATAAATCCACATATTGAATGGAATTTGACTTGGGCACGAATGTTCAATGGGATTGACCATTCTGTCATTCTGCAAACAATACTGATTATACGTAAAGACTATTAGCCAAACAGGCCAAGTTGCAAACACCCTTAACGTGCGCATCACCGCCATCCTGGCGAGTTGTAATGAAACTGTCACCAACGATAGTGAAGGAAATGCCCGAAAAACAACCCTTACACCCTGGGGTGACGATGAGTTGCGAGGCATGTGACTATCAAGAGATCTGTTTGTTTTCAGACATGACAGCAAGACGTTTTCCCGGGTAGAATGTTGTTTAACGTTGTTTAACTAACATTAAATAGCACTGTAACTATATACGTGCTTAGCCTCTCGTCTGGTGTTCGTTATAAAAACCATCGCGAATTCAAGGATAGTGTAGTTCCAATGTTCAGCAATGAAGACAATAATGTCATGTGAGTTATTTCAACATTTTGTATTCTTCTAATGCGTTTCGACACAGATATCGTAATGAGGGCATTGTGCACCATTCTGTCACCAGAAGCATGGAAGACATACACGGTCATAACTACTGCAGGTGGGTAACAGTGAACCAAACGGTCGGGCGAAACAAACAAGCAAACAAAACAAAACATATCCATATATTGTAAAACTAAGTAACCGAAATTTTTAAGTATTTCGAGGGCACACAATGGGAATCACATTTCTTCATGTCAGTTAAATGGAATAAGCTGAGAACTGAAAATATTCACACATCAACTCTTTTGAAACGAAATTTCCCTCAGACCTCAAGATGTGTGAATGTCACAAAAGTTTATATGGCGTTATTGAGATGAATGATGTGTATTGACAGACGCTACCTCTTTCAGAGAATAGCCATATCCCTTGTGACACTACGTCTTCGCCATCTACAGCAATGATTTTCACAGTTCACGACATGAATGGGACTGAAAATCTTTACTTGGACAGCATCTACAAACTCCATCAGGAGAAATACCTCAACCTCCTTGTGATGTGTTCTTCTAAATGTATCATTGAACTCCTCCATCAGGTACAACTTGTCTCAAAGATTAAGCGTAATCCTTAATACGATCAATACAATTGAGATAAGCGGAATTAATACCATGTAGATTTTCAAAAGCTCACAGGATTTACTTGAATCTTTACAATTTTAGAAATTTTCAGTTCTGTTCAAACATTTGATTTTCCAGCTTAATATACGATTATCTCGCATGGTAAACGTAAGGAAAAACGGAGATTTGCACATCGGGCATTTCTTTCATAAACTTTGGGAGGAGCAGAAATATACTTACATATCTGTCGTCAGGGGTTTAGGATAACTGTCAAACATGAAAGCCGATCTCATCTGACGTTTAATGAGAAAGAGAAAAACGTGAAATGCTGGACTTTCCCAATGATCTCCTCCGGATACAACATTTAGACAAGTCCCAAAGGACATCCAATGTGCTATCAGCCTTGTGAATGTGTTTCTGTATGCAATTTCTGCTTACAAAATTAAAGCAAGGTTATTTGCCCAATGCATTTAACTTTGGCTTCAGATATATCGATAGTGATATCGTTCAGTAACCATTTACTTCCTTTCCGCTGATTTACCCACCTGAACCTGAGGCCAGTGAGAACGTCTCATCTGTATCATATTTAGTTTTATGCATAAAGATTCATAGTTACAAGAACAAAACGAATCTCCACCAGGAAGATCTCAAACGTATAGTGTTCATTCCACAACTTGTAAGGTGAACGTATCACCCAGCACACGCACACACCTTATAATAAGTAAAATCAATCGATTTCAAAGGGCGTCATACGGCTCTTGTTCAAATTTGATGCATCGGCCGGTGGCAGAAAGACGAATTGATATTCATGTATGTATAAGATGAGTGTGCTTATCAGTTACTACTAAATCTTTGCCTAGGCCCATCTGGCGGAGACAGACATGAAGAAGGATGAGAAACGGTTGGTGTCCAGATGGCTGGTCATACCTACTTCAGGGGCTGTGAAGGACATCGCGACAACTCGTGAGACCATCAAGACAACTCAGTTGATCATTTTGGATGCCATCACCATCAACCATTTTTCTTGTCATGTGAGCGTATGTGGGATGAAGAGTTTGAATACATGCTATCGAGAGATAAAAAGAAAGACCTCGTGAATGGCTCCTCGGGTCTTATACAGAATGTTCGTGATTTAAGTGCAGAAAACGCCCAATTTAGGGGCCAGCTCTCGTGTCTGGAAGGAATACGAAGGAAAGCGTTTGCAACCATTAGAAAGAAACCTACACTCTTAATTTGTAATGATAATAGTAGTAGTTTATGATGATAATAATAATTATGATACATGTCATCGTATACCAGTTGCATAGATTGATGGTGAAGATGTTAAACACTGGATTGTCTCATTCAGACTCGATTATTTACAGATCGCTGTCATATAGCTGGAATACGGATGAGTGGGGCGTAAAATAGTATATAAGCCAACAAGAGTAATAGATTTAGGGATTAACCCTTGTCACGTTAATATGTCATAATATTATAAGGCAAATCAGTCTTTCGTGTGTTTGACTGAATGTTTGACTGTTCTTGTGCAAGCACCTGACACCTAACAACTCATATTGACCATAAGCTGCTCTAGCGTGAACTTGGTGGTGAATGTTGACTTCCTTCTTGCAGAATATGTCCAGTGGGGATTTATTCTCCTTTGTTGATCTTTATTGGGTGGGTGAAACCAAGGACAAACGGGAGTTACATGCTTTAGGCGCCTTAAGAAACAAGGAATGGTCGACGATTGAGGACACTTTATACCCTAAACATGGATTCCATAACAAATTACTAACTGTTGCAGTGTTGGAGGTAAGTAGAACTGAATTTGATTAATGTAAGATACGAATCGTAGTACAGTTTACAAGGTTCACGAGATATACTCAGTTCTAACTCAGGTCTGTTGTGCCATTTACCCCAGGTGCCAGGAACTGCATATACTAGTAGTCAAAATTGCGATACCAATGTTCAGTCGGTGTTAAAACTCCAAAATGTCTATCTGCCAACAGAGAAACTGCTGTGAATAGCAGGAGTGACATTAGGTCGCCAGCAACATGTTTTCCGAACTAACTCCGAATTTCACTATATATCAGTTATAAAATATCATTACAATCACATCTTTTACTCTGATACGATACCTATCATGGAAATATCACAACGCTTGAGTAAGAGGTCTTATGAGACGAAGTGGAATTCTCCTAACAATCAAGAACCCACCAATCAAACATTTTGATTTCGTTGTAAAAGTTCGCTGTGAGTTCCTGCAAAGAAATATCCAAACAGGATAAAATATTTATTTGAATTTGATCATTCTTTTGTTATTTGGCACTTTATTTTAACAATGTTTTCAGAGCCCACCGTTTGTGATCCGAAGAGTGATGAATGATACCGCCATCTACAGCGGAGTTTGCATAGATCTACTAAACGAGCTAGCACGAAGGCTCAATTTCAGGTACTAGTGCTCTTGTTATAGCCGACCAACAGATTTGAAGACTTGAGTCAAAACATTAGCGAAGACTTCACTTGTGTATCACTGTTTTTCCTTGTACAGAATACAGCTATCATAGTTTCTTGAAAGTCAAAAGTATTAGCGCTAAGCACCAGGTTTCACTTTAGTAAAATCCATATTGTCAGGATTTTGAACCCCCCAGTTTCAGCATCGTGGAGACAGAAGATGGTGAATGGGGAAATCTGGTCGACGGCAAATGGACGGGTCTGATCGGACAGCTTGTGGAAAAGGTACATGTAGGATATAAATGATATGATATTATACCTTCCCAAAGTTTGTATACATCGTTAAGGATGTGTTAAATTTTTTATGATAATGTTCCTAATGTATGTGAACCTTTTATAAATGTTTCTAACCACTTGATTTTAGCATATTTAAACGAAATCATTTGTATGAAAACATTTAGATTTCTATATCGGAGATCAGTTGACTGATATGATGGTTGCTTTCAACATCACTTTTATTGTTTTCAATGTATTGTAAAACGAAAGACATTTTCTCGCCGCGAATAGCCGCAACATTACTGATGCGGCGTTCAGCAATACTCACCCACTCATGTGTTATAAATAATAAAATACAGCAAATATGGTCAAATTCATAGTAATTATAATAAACGCAAGTAGCCACAAGTACGACTTAATGAAAGGATCACAGGAGGAGTGAGTGAGTGAGTTAATATTTAACGCCACATCGGCAATATCTCCGCCATATCGTGACAAAAACAATTTATACAATAAAAAATGAAAACATTTTGAAGAGTAAAACCTGTGGACGATGGACAGTAAAAATACTAGAGTATCACAGATATGCATATAAAACTAGCATGTAAAACTAAGACATTTTAATTAAAGAAGACAATACAATATAAGAAAAACCGGGTTATTGATCGCCAACAGCTCAAGGTAGATCACCATACTAGGAACCATGGGGACTTACATTACTTTTGCTACCTACACGGACCCTAGCTGGATTTACACCATCCCTTTAGCCGCTGGCGATGGTAGGAAGATATAGCCGAAATTTAAAATAACAAAAATACTATGATTAAAAAGTATGGTTGAGCAAAATTGACTTTGAAAGTTTTTGGGACGTACGTACCCTCTCAGGAGGACAATAATTTTACGATACTTTAACCCCTTTGAGCTAGGATACAGCAACTAATAATCGCAGTTGCTAATTTATACTACCATTCATAAAATAATATTTATCTATTTACAAAACATATTGTTCAAAACTTATCCAGTAATTTTATTTCTTAAAAAAAATTATTAAATGATTATTTACATTTTATAAAAGATCCTTAATTGTTTTGACACTAAAATATTTATCCCTTGATCACGGGAGGAATAATGATACTAGGGCACTGACAAAATTAACTGAGGAACATGTGTTTCGCACAAAAATATGGATAAAATATTAGTGTTCTGCTCTTTCTAACATTATGCTCGAAAGCAGTAACCCCCGAAGATCTAACAACTCCCAAATGTCCAAAGCCTGACAACAGTGAAGGTCGTATTGAGTTATGTTCCGATATGCTGACATGGTATGACAACAATACAGTGCGTGGACACGAACTTACAATTGACAGTTATCACGTGTCTCTTTTTATTTGTTTACGCTGTAACACATTCTTGACAAAATATGTTAAGTACCACTGGTATTTCCTGCATGCACAATACCATCGTCAGTATGTTTCATTGGTGTTAAAGAATGTAGCAAATCCGTTAAATGACCCCAGTGCCATAAGTCATGATGATCAGTGGAAAGGTTGACAGATTGGGTGTAAGTAATACCTTGATGACAAGAACTAAACTGCAAATCCTTAAAAAATTAAAACTCTGCCTCAGTTGGATTGAATCAAGCTTTGATTTGAGTTTGAACGTTAACAGCTACCAATAGCAGATTCTCAATTTGACTGACTGACTGACTGACTGAGTTTGGTTTTACGCCGCTTTTAGCAATATTCCAGCAACAGCACTGAGGGGGACACGAGAAATGGGCTCACACATTGTACCCATGTGGGGATTCGAACCCGGGTCTTCGGCGTGACGAGCCAACGCTTTGACCACTAGGCTACCCCACCGCCCCTCTCAATTTGACCTATCTAACAAACATAACACCTGACAATCGGATTGTGATCTCATTTGGACATTTCTCACAATAGTATCAATATTCCATTACTTTATGAACAATATTTTATTCATGTATACTGACAGCAAAAGAAACGTCTGGCTTTTTGCCAAGATTTTGAATAGAAGACAACCAAAATCATGTCTAATCATTTATTCTATAGAAAACACTGTCAATTTAACAGCTAAAAGTTGATGTTGACATTGAATTGCAATAAGTTCAAATTGATCACAGTCCGTCAAATGGAGATACCCCTGAACGCGAAAAGTGACAGTCTCTTTAGTAGCGCATATAGCTCCCTTGAGCTTTCACACAGGCCGTGCAACATGGCCTCATTGAGTTCACTAGAGTCTGAAAGGATGCCTGAGGCAATTGGTTCCGCCCAAACACCAATCCCTATTCCAATTGTGCAAGTGTGAGTGGCTGTCTACCTGCCCCAATCCTCCGTCCAATTTCGTCCCAGAATGTTCAATGGGAGCCATATCCGGTAAAGAGATGGCCATGGCAAAATGTTAATGTTGTTCTGAGCCAGACAATCCATCGACACCCTTGCTGTGTGAGGGCTGCAAACGTCATTGGCGTTGTTGACGTGCCAAAATTGGCCCCATGGCCTTCGGCAGTGGATTCCAGCAGCCAGAAGACGACGCCTAATCGTATCGCTGGACACTGCTCCCCTTGACCCAAGAACTAAGGCTGCTGTTACTGTTGCTGCTTGAGTTCGGTTCCTTAGATGAGTGACCCGGATGAACCGATCTTGCATATGAGTTGTCACTCGTTGCCGTCCGGTACAGGGACTATCAGCAGCAACCCCGGTTTGCTGATGACGTTGAGCAAGTCGTGTAATGGTGGTAAAATGACAGCCCAATTGTCTAGCTACAGCAGTTGCAGAGCTACCTCCGTGCAACTTTCCAATGGCCATTCCCCTCTGCTCAGTGGTTAGTCTAGGCATCGTTTGTGTTGCGTGTACACCTCCTAGCATCAATGCTGAACTGTTTTTTGTCACAAACCGTTATAAAGGATACCTCAGAGTGAAATTCATGCTTTCCATCCATAACCGTCGATGCACGTGCTAAAATTATTGTTTTCTTGCACTGTTGTTGCCAGTGTTTCGTATGGACGTCAAAGTGCATGACATTATCTCATCAGGGATCATTACGTCACTTTACCATGAACGTTTCCATAAACATGAACGCTTACCTTCAAGAAATTTCATTTTTTCGAAACTTGCGTTTCTTTTGCTGTTCAGTATATTTGGATAATATAGTTGTCAAGAGAATCACTGTTTATTTTGGCAGAATACACAATCCACCATTTCATTACGACAGATCATCCACTTTTAAATTCATGACTATCAGTAACCCAGTATTATGTCTTCTAACATGTAGGAACATTGTCTGATTCCTGCATTTGTTAAACATTTTTTGCAGAAAGCAGATTTGGTTGTTGCTCCTATTGCAGTCACCAAATCACGAGAGGAAGTTATGGACTTCACTGTACCGTACTTCTTCGTCAAAACGGGCATCATCATAAAGACGCCATCAGCAAAAACATTGTTCACGCTTATCTCCCCTTTCCACTACGAGGTCCACATGTGTTTAGCCATAGCACTCGTCCTGTCAACGATTCTCTTACTGATCCTGGAAGTGCTGACTTCGAAATTTATTCTGTACAAGCCAGTTGACAAACTGAGATATTACGGAGATTCAGCCTTTCATATCTTTGGCTCCCTTGTGTATCAGGGTATGTATTGTGTAAACTACTTCGTATGTGTTTAATAATAGACTTA